ATATATATGTTCATTTATCTTATAAACTAAACTTGTAAAGTAAAACTTTCTTAAAAATCCTGAAAAAACAACATAATTTTCTTAATTATTATATTTCTTAATTATTATAGATTAAAAAAAATATAACGTTTTATAACGTAGTTATAATGCACCTTACACTAATGGATCTTTATGTTCTTTGAATTCTCGTCCAAACTTCCCAAAACTCTAAAGGCCCGTCAAACTCGAGAAAATGTCCTTCGTCCGCTCTGTGAAAAGATGTTTTAGACCGGGGCGATGAACGGCTTATCGCGCTCAAGGAATTCCTGCACCTCGCGATCATGCCATAGCTGAGCACTCTTTTCATATGGAAATACGAAAGCTGACATTTAAATAAGTGACCACTTGTGTAAAAATATCATCTCTGTTAGTTATCCCAATTGTTCGAACAATATCGAGAGACTTGTCAAAGCGAAACAATGAGCTGAAGAGTCTGGGCGGCAGTCGATATCGATGAATTATTTGAAATAAATTGATTTAATTTAAAGCGATAACAATGATTTACAAGTGAAACGTAACAGCACGTTTGCATAACAATATTAATGCATGTATATCTATTTTGTCCTAAAGATTAAGAATCATCATTCAAATTTTTGATTATACAAATAATACAGTATTACTGAATTCAGATCATATATTTTTGTTGAATATTAATAATATATTCTGTAGGTATTTATATTGTTTAATAGAGATGTCATTATTTTCAGAATAATTAGTCGTATTAATTGTATTTGTAATTGTATTTATAAAGAATGAAAAATATAAAAAATATAATATCACAAAAAAATATTACAGAAATTTTAAAAATATAATATAATAAAAAAGGAAATTTTTTAATCTTTACATGTATATCTCAAGGGCATATTTTATTAATGCATTTTAATTCAATTTCTTATTTCACATGCAGATGTAAATAATAATTCCATTATAATAAGAATTATATGTATATAAATATATAATAATAGATAATAATAAGAAATATATAATAAGAAATTATTTAAGGAAATTTAAGTTGAAGATATTGAAGATATTGAAGATTTTCAAGAACCTTCAGTTTTGATACTTGAATGATACTTGAAGCAATTTGAAACTTTATAAGACACTGAATAGCAAACTTTCGAAAGATGGCATCGAACGCCCATTATTAGTCGTAGATGAAGTTACCAAGCTTTGTTATACGCGACACGATGGATATCGATATCCATGCTAGAAGAGGTCGATAGTTTCACGAACAGACGTCGCGTCGTTTCCTCGTTGAAAAAGCATTTAACGGAACGTCATCTCGTACGAGAGCGGAGGCGTGTACGCGTATGTGACGCAATTGTTCCACGTGTCGCCTGTCAATTTATATCGAGCACACACCAGCACTCAACGCGACAACGATGAGGCGTAGCAAATAATTTCGCGGATAATTCGCTGCGGACGCAAAATATTTCGTGTGTATTAAATTCGTGTGTATTAAATTTCTGCTGCGGGTGTACTTGTCAATCTATGTTTTTATTGCATTTTACATTTTTAAGAGGATTTTGCAAACACAAGAGAGCTCTGGAAGCTTTTACGATACACGAGTTTGCATCATTCACATCCAATAAAGAAACTTCTGATACAATAAAATATTTGATCAAAAACTTTTTTTTTTCATCTATGTCACTATTGAAACCTTTATATACTAATAAGTTATTATACAATATAAAAAATCCAGCATACAGACATTGTTTCCAACGATATATTGATTCTGCTTATTAACGGATGAGCCAAAGAATAATTTTGAATTTTAGATCAATTTTTTTTTCCATATATGCTATATTTTCTTCTTAGCTACGTATTATTAAAATTAAAATATCTAATTAGTAATAAGGCTCATAAATTTTAAAAAATAAAAAAAAAAGAGAGCTATAAGCCAAAAATTATTATATAAGATAAAACATGATAATGTAGAATGTAAAAAAAAACAATGAAAAAAC